AGATAAAAATACTGGTAAACTCACATTATCTCTACTGGTATTTAATAATTTATAAGGTCTGAGCAATTAATAATGGGGTACATGACACACTGGAAAATTATTTTCATCCTGTATCTGATCCATGTTTGTATTTATCAGTGTTATGCTATACATGTCCATGGAAGTCTGTATTCCACGGTGTGCATGGGGATGCCTTCTTCCCTGCTTTACAGGAACAACAGATAGTGATTAGACACAAGAATTGTGACTCAAATACTTCTCCCTTTGTGGCACAAGAGAGATGGCTGGATTTGAAATAACAGGAATAAAGAATACAGCCAAAAATGAAAAAATAAAAATAATTAAAAAAAGGGGAATTCAAGGAAAATTATAAAAAGGTATTAGCTCCTGGATAATTTGATGCATACTAACATGTCTTGCCTCCTTTATCCCAAATTCTTCTGTCATGCCTTGATTATTTACAGGTGCCAGATATGCAGATTTGCATAGCAGTGGTATTATCTGGTTTTGATGTATTTTATCCTCCATACCACCAAGGGCCAATGATTTGCAGCTGAGTATGAAAATAAAATTTGGTTCTGCCTGAAACATGGCTGTGAGGAAGGGAGCAATGGGGTGTGCTCTTGTTTATACAAGAGAGATAAGAAAAACTGCTTTGATTTGACAGCATGCTGTATACTGATACCAGCGTGCTCAAGGAAGAATGCATTCCCTGCGAGGACTTTAAAGTCAGAATTTCAGACACACAACTTGGTAATACAAATATAAGCAACAGCAGAATGTTTTATTACTTTGCCTGGCACTCGCCCTTCTCATGCTACCAATATTCTCCCTCAGCTGGGCGACCATAAAACTGGTTCACAAAGATCACCCAAATCTGTCTCCTCGTACATGTGAGAACTCAGGAGGGTTTTCTGCATACTGGAGCCCTGGATAAGAAACTGAATGAAGGATAATGAAGGTGAGTGATAGGAAGAATAATAATAATGGAAAACAGTGACAAAGAGCAAATATAGGGACTGAGGAGAAGAATGATAAAAAGCAGACAGTGAAATATGATGGGATATAGTTTCCACACCAATAATCATACTGGGGGATGACAATATGCTGAAGTGTATTAACCTTAATTGTAACTAACAGAAAGCACTTCAGAAAACTACTTACTGTCATTGTTTCCTTCCCTGCTTAGGGCTGGCAACTTGTTTTGGCCCCTACTGTAATTTCTTTTATCTGACTCATGTCTGAAGCTAAAGAACTCTCCCTGGTGAGGCACTTTGTGCCCACTGGATCTGTACTTCTTCTCTGTCAGCAGAAGAAAAGGTCCCAATTATATTTCCCTCCTTGTCTCTGGTGTCATGAACCAAAGACTTTTGACATGGTGAGATTTAGACATACACTTACACACTTCATGCCCTCTATACAAGGGCTTGAAAATTTACTAAATGAGGTGTGACTGGTCTCAGGAGTCACAGCCTTATTGACCAGCATTGACCGGGGAGAAGAAAAGCCATTTAAGTCCGTGATGAATCCGTGAGAGGTGCCCAGGCAAGATCATCCTCTCACATGTTATTATGGGTGACCAGAGTGGAAACACAAGGGTTCACAAGCAACTACTCAAGATGTGGGCAAGAATTAGCATCTTGTCTTGTCTTGCTACAGCTTCTGTAAGGAGAGGAGGTGCTGCATCTCCCTGGCTGTTTTGGAAAGATTGAGAGGAGCTGGCAGCCCCAGGGACAGGAGGTACTGCATCCCCCTGGCTGTTTTGGAAAGGTGGAGAGGAGTTAGGAGCCCCAGGGGGAGGCACGGTGCCCATCCTGGCTGGCAATTCCTCTGAATGGGCAGTGGGGCTGGTATCTGGGGCTGTGCCGAGCCTCAGGGTGTGTTTCCATCTGATTTCTCTTGAGTTTCCCCTGAAAGGATGGGCCTGACTGAGCTGCTGCCTCTAATGAGCAAACACTGGGCCCATAAGTCTGCCCTCCATTACAGTGTTTGTCAGCACCTCTGTGTGTGTCCCTGCCCTCCAGCCCTACTGTCTCTGGGGTGTTATTCTCCCATACAATATTCACCAGGGTGGCAGCCTGGTGTCCACGGTGCCTCATCCCACATTCTCCACAACAGCAGCAATTAGATTAATGCTCTTACAGCCCTCTCACAGGCTTTGGTGGCAATTGTTCCTCTTCTCCCTCTGATTTTAAGTGTAATTGCCATAAGTAACTTGGTAATCTAACTTGGGTAGGGTTGGCAATAACATTCATTATATGGAATTGGGTGGTAAACTTTGAAGTGAGAGCAGGCTGAGTTTGACAATTTCTGACAGTTTGGACCTCCATAAATAAATTAGTGTTATGCATTTTATAATTGTTGTGAAAAACATTCAGGAAGGTTTTTATGCTGTGCTTATTGTGACACATTGTAACACCACTTTGGCACCACTATCATACCATATTATACATTAGATACATAACCAATGATTATGCAAAAGAAGAATATTCATGACTTTTAGACAATTCTTGATTAGTAAGATGGTTGTGCTATGCATAATAATAGACCAAATGTTTATCCTGAGGAGTCATTATCCAACACTTGCACAGATCTAATCTAAATTCCAAGAAGGAGCATCCATTAGAGTAAATGGGAAATTAACACCAGTTAGTGGATATTGAAAGTTTTCTCTTCTTGTGTGCTTAGACCATAATTTTAAATGGAATTAAAAACTAGGACATCATGGCAATATATGATTAAAAAATTGTATAAAAAGTCAAAAATCAAACACTACCTGTTAAGTGAAGGGTTAGAGGAACCCTTGAGGAGCATTTGAAAGCACAAATATAAAGATTTTTTGATGTTACTGAAAGGTAAGAACTGTCATATAGAAAAGGCAAGAATTGACTGGAAAAAACATCTGAAGGATATTGCAAAAGCATTTGCAGGTATGTCTGTAAACAATATCCCTTAGAAAGTATCTGAAGTTGTTCATACTCAACTTTTTTTGTGAAGTTTCTCAGGGTCATATTAAATTCAGCATTATGATCATAGGGGAAACATACTTTAATTAGCTTTGATTTTTGTGATGTAACATATTCAAGATGATGGATTGAGAGTCTGGAGCAGGAGATCCTCTCTTCATCTTCTGTAAAAAAAGTACAAACCTGTTCCCTTGTCAATGCCAAATCATTCCAAGCACCCACAGCAGTCAGTTCCTAGTAGTGTTGCTCACTTTAATGCATAAACATCAAATATAAATGTTGCTTTATAAAAGTAACTGAAATCGGAATGAAAAAATACCTGGCTTGTTTCAGTCTGAGAAGTCACCAGAGCAGAACAGAGAAGTGGATGAAAGGTTCCATTTAAAAAAAAAAAAGTGTTAATTTTGAGTGAATAGGAAGAAGGCAGCAACGGAAAAAAATTCTACCCACAGCCACTAGAAGGCAAACAATAGCAAATCTAAACCCCGAAAATATCAGTGGGATAAGACCATAAATAGAGATTGCCATTACTGTCACCTCAACTGACCACTTACATTACACCTGTCAAAAACAGCCTAACCTGCAATTCCTGTGCAACAGAGCCTACATCTCTGTCTCAGGGTTAAAATATATTCAAGTGATGGAAAATCCATCTCATGCTCAGGTAAGCTGCTCTGGAGGTTAGTCACAGTGGTAAAGTCTTTTCCCATACCTTTAGTGAGAATTTCCTTGTCACAAATTTCCTTAGCTTCCATGCTAGGAGGGATTTCATACTTTGGCCTTGTTTTTTTTTTCCCCCCTAGATTAAAGAGGGATCAGCTATCAGAAATCTTTTTACTGTTTAAGCTGTGCTCACCTCCTAACCTCTTTTTTTTTTTTTCAGAGAGGGAGGTGATAAAGTGAACAGCTTAAGTCCTAAGCTGCTTGAGAGTTTCTAAGCCCCTTAGGGTAGGGAATGTTTTCTGAAAACTGAACTCTCTTGCAGTTTTTTTCTGACTACCCTCCAACTTTTCACATACTTGCTGAGATACAGATGACAAAGCCAGGCACAGCATTTCACTGCTTCCCTTATACTTTTTACAGAGGAAACAGGACTACCTGGTCTGTACAATCTTGCAGTAAACTAATTGACCTGCTTCTCCAAGGACTTAATTTGACTGTCAGCTAATCAGGTGACCCCTTCTACTGAGCTCTCATCTTTTGTCACTTGTTGTAAGTCTCACTCATTTGGGCTTGGATAGTATCAACTCTGGGCCAAGTACAGATAAGTTATTCCAGAAACATCACCCTGCCCTGACACCTCCCCCACCTCCCTTGAAAGGCCACCAGTAAACTCAAGAATATCCAGAAAGAAGAGTTTTGTCCTCTTTTCTGCTGAGTGCCAGAGGGAGGACCCTGGGAAGGCAGTTTTCTGTCTCGGTGAAACAACCGAGCACCATCAGGATCATGATGCTACTACCATGGAATGTTTCAGATAGGCAATTTTGAAGAATTAGTCCTTTAGACTGAGAGTTGGTGGATGAGGATTTGCTGTACCAATACAAAGCATTGTCAAAGTCTTTGAGGTAGGATGCTAAAAAATACTGCTCCTATGTGTACAATAGTATGACATATATTTGAGCAAGCATAGAATAAACATCACCACTTATTTGCAGAAGGCAAAAACTCCACAGGACAGTCCTGCTGCAATAGTGAGTGAACCAAAGCATGTAAAAAATGAAGACATGCTGAAGAGGAAAGAAAGAGAGAAGCAGTTGCTGGGGAAAAAAACAAACAAACAAACAAAAAAATCAAACTAAAAGCCAAAAGCTCTCCATACTCCCTCAAAAGAAATAAAAAAAAAACAACAAAAAAAAAAAAAAAGACAAAAAAAACCCCAAACCAACCAAACCAACAAATCCCTCCCCCCATTTATCAACATATTTTTAGATTATTTCTTTACCGGAGTGAATGGTTATGCGAGACAATTAGAGCGGCCCATTACCCCACACTCAACACAAGGCTATTGAGGCACACAATTCCCCACTTACTTACACATTCAGAGGTTGCCAGGCCGGCCACTGAGCTTTGGCTTTGATGACGGTTAAAACCTCATCGCTCTGTTAAAAGAGGCAAAACAAGAAAGTGATTGGGACAATTTTACAATGAGAGTGATGTGACTTAGAGCAAAAAAAAAAAAACAAACAACAAAATACCCGACAACCAAACCAACTATGAGGCACTGTGCCTGCCGATTCTGACTATGAGAAATATGCTTTGTCCTTTTCGTTGTCTGGGCACCTTGTGTCCTCGGTTGCACAGGATCCATCAAGGATCCTCTATGAATGCAGGAGGCAAGAGCAGTAAGCAAAGGCAGTCAGACCTTGGGCACAGTCTCTTCACCTTCTGTAGGAACTGGAGTGACCTTAAAACACCAGCAGCAGTTTGCAGACAATGTTATTTTTGCATCGTGAGCAAAGAGAAAGCTTTCACCAGGAATTCATCAGGTTAAAAAAAATAAGCAAGGACAGAAAAATTGCTCTTAATACATTACAGATCTACATACAAAAGTCAGAGGCAGCTCCTCTAGGCAATCTAACACACTCTGTGAACATGTATGATATATTATTTATTATTCTTATACATGTAAGGATGTAGAGTCCATGGTGGATGTGTGGCAAACACCACCATTGATAACATTTTCTCTTTGCTCTCCATTTATGCACGTGAAAATTATAAGGTGAAATACAGCAGCCATCTCTGAAAGCTCACAGTGTGAGTACGAAGATTATTTCCTGAAGTCTGTTTGAATTCCCGCATCAGCAGTTTTAAACTTTATATTGGTGCAGTAAACCCAGGACAAAGGCAGGAGACTGTTAACAAGGCTCTGATGCCCAAAAGATATCTGTCACACTTTTTTAGAAGCATTTTCCCCATCTCCCCTAGGAATCCACCCCAGTAATTCGCCTGGAGGAACACAAAGTTCACAACTCACTCACATGATTTCTACTGTCTTTTTAAAATATTTCCCAATTAGACCAAGAAACCCACTTCATACATTACCAGTAATTGGCACTTCCAACAGAGCTGACCTTTCAGTTTAGTGATAACAGTGCCATTTCTTGCTTGATAGCAATAGTTCTGACATCCCAGACTAGTTCTAGTCCATACACACCCCTCTTCAAAGGAAACAAATTTCACTGGTTGTTTCTACCACTGTCACTATTTTCAGACTCCCTCTTTTTACCAAAGCAAGGGCATTACAGCACTGATGGGCCCTCTCTGTGACACATAAGGTTTTCAGGCTCAGGAAATATATATGTGACCTCTCCCTTACACCAAGTGGATGGATAAGACATTCCTTGGAAACCGTTTATATATATACAGATGCTTGGCCAAAGCCTAGACCACAGGAAGTGTGCTGAGCTAAGAGAGTTGAAAGTCTGACTCTACAAAGGCAAGTAAGTATAAAAAGACTTCATCAAACTCCCATACTAGTGATACGGCTGGAACAAAGAGAATTTTGTGTTGAGAGGGAGGAATCAAACAGCAGGCAGGAGGGCCGTGCCAGCAGGCAGATCCACCGGGGCAGGCAGGCACTGGGGAGCCGCTGAAGGCTGAGCCACCAGCACAACCCTCTCTCCCAGCCTGCCTGCTGGGCTGGGTGGAACCAAACAGAGATGAGATCCATGCAGGAAGGATGCATCACATACAGGTTCATCTATAGTAACCTTTACATCCATGCCTTCAAAAATAGAAGAGACAGTTGTGTGCTCAAAGTGATTTAAAAAGAAACTCATTCCACGAACGAAGTTAAAAGTCTGAAGTTAGAAGACATTAGTTCTCTTTCTCCGATGACAGAATTTGCCTTAATTTTTAATTTTCCTTGTTTCATCGTCCTCAAACTTTCCAGCTGGGCATGTCTTCATTTGCTTGCCTTGAGAACACATTTGCATTCAAAATCATTAACTGTGTATTTTACATCGCAACAAAAGTCTGTTATGAGCATAGATGATTATGTTTATTAAAGTAATGCACTGCTTATCTAATAAAAGGCAGTAATTATGTCACTAGCATCCAAACCACTCATGTCTGAAAGCATTTCAAAATGTGCTATTCAAATTAAAAATGCATACCAAGAGTAGATGAACAATGACTAATAGATTAGTAGTAAGTGCAGAGGGAAGAAAATAAGGAACAAAGCGTGGTGCATTCAGACATCCCTGAATTTTAAGGAAAGTGAAAATTCAGATGCAAGCACTGAATTCATGGATACTTTCTGAATCAAAATGAAAAAATGCAGAATCCATTGCTCTGTTGAGCCTGGAAGGAAAATACACTTTCTTTTGTACCTAGAGCTCCTTGACAGTTATGTAGGATTAAGATACAACTTGAATTAAACCATTGCTATTCCAGACTGATGTTCTAATTATGCAGTTGTCTCTATCATGCAGATTTGCAATATTTATTTTATGTTTTTTTTAAATGTAACTCCTACACTGCTATCAGTGCCAGTGTATATTTACATGCACTGGCAGACAGACAGATACACGAGTAGATACTTGTGTACAGTAACAAGTTTTCCTTGGACAAGTCTTTACATCAAGAAGATGAAATCCTGGAAAACAATCCAGCCAATTCATCCTTGGGGTCTGCAAGGCTGTTGCCATGTGGGGTCTGGCTGCCAGGCTTGGCATCAACCTAGAGATCCCAGCTCCGCTTTCCACATATGTTGTCACCAGCCTGCATCTCCCCCACCTGCAGCAGGGATCGGGCTCGGGGAGTCCCCCCCAGAAAGCAGTGACCTTCCTCTGCCTCCAGACTCTCCAGCTGACTTCCACATTTCTGGGGGAACATGACAGACTTAAGCAGCCCAGACAAAGAGATGTTATCCACCACACGAGTTCAGAGCCTCGTGAACAATCTATGGATAGAGAGCAACCCACAGAAAAGATACAGTGCTTGGATTTCTGGCCAATCTCTTTAACTACAGTTATTGGCAGGTGGTAGAAACTGAGAGGATATGAAATACCTGAAGAGAAACCCACAAATTAATAATATGGAACTAGTTGATGTAACCCAACTGCCTTGAATAACCAAAATGCACAGACTTTATAGTAGAGGCATAGAACATCACATACTTTTTATTAATTTTATTAACATTTTCTTAGTGCTTGCTGTCCTACATTTATACCCATTTTTCTCTTCTCTTCATATTCCCAATGTTTTGCTTTGATTTTTGAAGTAAACAAACTCTCAAATTCACGTCAAAATATGGGAAAGAGAACGAGGAGGTTTCACTGTGGTATGTTGCAAGTTGTCTTGGAAACAATGACTCACAAGTAATGAAAGTGTTACATTTTGAAAAAGAAAACTAAGATTGTTTACTAGATGATGGAGTGTTAAAATGTCACATCAGAACAAGTTAAAGGGAAGGGCACCAATGCTCTTTCTAGGAGCTGATGAAAATCCTTTAGGTCAAGTCTGATACAGGCCTCTTCCAACAATAAAAGTGGGGGAAAAAAGGGGAAGAAAACTGTCTGTCAACAGTCACAGAGACAGATAGAAATAAAGTATATCTCTGGAGTCATCATGGTAGATTAACTTCAGTATAATTTGGATTTTGGGTTAAGTTAAAACATGCACAAATATCAACCAACCATCCTTTTCTCCAGATCCACTTTCTACATTGGTGTTCAAGCTGGGGGTGGGTGGCTGATTCAACAGCTGTTCCCTATGAAAGTCCCCAATGAAAGTTCCCTATGAACTTTTCTCCAAATAGTCCTAATAGCATGACTTTAAAAGGTTGATAATGTTATTCTAAAAAAATTAATCAATTACTTTACACCCATTTGTTCCTGCAATGTACAAATGAATGCTCATACAGAATAAAGTAATTAAATGGCAAACCATAGTGGTATAAAACCACTGCTAAATTAGATTGTTCAACCGTGCACCTACAAAAGATTAAAAACTTTTCCTCAGCTTCAAATGAAAAGTGGGACGTAGCTCAAAAAGGCAGCATTAAAGATAGAATTTGATTTGAAGTCTTTCTCAACCAAGGGGATTTAAAACAGCAAGTTTAAAGGGTAATATCCATTAAAAAGTAATGAAAGCTTTCAGCAAAAGTTTTAAGTATCATCTGAATACTTTTAGAAAGAAAGTGAGATTAGTAGGATCTGGAAAGCCACGTAAACTATTCCATGTGCTCCAGCTGCTTTTTTGGTAAATTACACGATCAGTATCTTTTCTATACTGGAAGTTATTTTTACAAGTTTTATTACTGTTTTTATTTCATGTGTGCCAAATAACATTAGAAAATATCACTGTGCAGATCACTTAGCACCTCGTAATAATGAAATGATTCGGTTCAGCTAAATAAATGACAGTGTGTTATCTGACATCCAAATCACAGTCAGATCCAATGAACCGTGGGAATGAAAAACACCTGGTTTGGGCCAGAGCTTAATTTCACTCATTTCATACTGCTGCTGCTTGGCATTCATTCCATTGTTTTAGAGCAGAGAACACTTAATTCCTTCCACAACGCTCCTCATACTGTCTGAATGCCTTTCTGTCCACAGTGGACTCATTTTCGCAAGTTTCTTGGAAAATAGAAAAAGCAACATTATCTCCAATTCACAGATGATGAATTGGATGTCTTCTGGAAACAAACCTACATATCTGAATTTTAAGATAGCATCTCCCCTGCAGGATCATCCTTTCCCTCAAAAATAATTTGTTATTGAAGGAGAAAGAGATAAAGTGAGAATGAAAAAGTATAATGCACAGTATGTCTTCTGTGGGGAATAAAATGCTATAAAAATTAGAATGATACAGTGCTTTGGAGGGATAGTTGGGTGCTCTTAAAATCTGATCAGTCTTCTATGATTAGTATAAATAGACCTTATTCCAACTCCACTGTGGGCAGACACACAGAAATCACTTTACGGTGAGGAAAAAAACGTATTTTCAGTTCATGAAAGTAGTTTCAGGCTAATAGAAGTCTTTGAAACCTCAAATTCTGGCTCCTTGTTGCTACATATGCTGTACATGTTATCAGGAAACATTTAAGAGAATACAGAAACCTGTTTGCGTGCTCTGAGTAGCCAGGACACCT